TCAAATTTCTCTTTTGAGGGTATCCACTGTTTTCCATTTTGTAACATGAAGTTATGATGAGGAGATTTGGTTTGAATGAGTTATGAAATTACATTGGAATTGCAGATTTTCGTTCCCTTATAAGTTATAAATGCATTTGGTATTTGATAATCCCTATTTCCTTTAACTTTTCCAAATTCTCATGTTTATTCTGAACACCGGGGCATTTATGGATGAATTATGTATTACCAACATATTGGGTTCATGCTCAAACGGTTTCTTGACAACTCACTGTCGGCATGCCAACAACTTCCCCGGCGTTTGGCAGTCCAAGAATAGAAAAAATGGCGGGAAAAACAGGAAATTAATTCCCTACAGAACTCCCTACTTAGCCTTGCTAATTTTGCAGACGGCTAATTTTGCAAATGACTTCTTGGAAGCGAGTCCGTGAGCTCTCAGTCCTACGCATTTGTTTTATTCATACGTGAGCACGGATGAAATGGTACCATTCATTGAAACATTGTCTCTTACTTTGATTAGTTCTTGTCGCCGGTTACAATCAGAGATGATTTTTGCCAGTTAGAAAAATACAGTGCATATTAATGTTTTGACCCATGGGCTAGCTGTTTCGGTGCCTAGTTTAATATCCTAATGTATTATGTGACACTGCTCTTTTAAAAATTGATCAACACATATAAATGAATGTACACATTTGGTTTATTTATACAATAAGGTTCATTGCCGCCTGTGGTAGAATTTTTAAAAACGTGTTTCAGTTTTTGAAATATTTTAAAATTAATGAGCATCAAGGACGAGAGGAATGGGTGGGGGTTTCTTCGTAAACTGTAAAGTTTGGGGGAAAATCAAATGACACCATGAATTTTATGTTGGTTTGCTTTATAGATTTACATGCATGTAAAATTTATTTCAACTACCAGTTTTTTTGCCAAAGCATGTTCTCCTTTTTATTCTAAGCTTTATCAGCCTCACAAACTATTAAGCAATTGTTACTTGAATTTGTGAGTATAGCTGTGTTCCCATCAACCTGTTAACAGTCATCACTGGCACTAACTTTTACAAAATGAAGTCCAATGAAGTCCAATGCAAATGCAGATTTTGGCAGAGCTTGTCCTTTTTCTTTCCTTGGACACCAAACGGCCTCAGTCTAATCTTTTACCAGCGATTTTTATAGGCCTGTTCATACTCTATTTGAAAGTGAGTGATTAGTAATCATGCTGGAAGTTTGCAAAAGTTGTAAATATTTTTGCTCCTACGAATTTCACAATTTTTTTTTAATGACATCAAATTTGTTTGTATATGGCATTTGCATGTACATGTAATGAATGTGCCCCAAGGATGCTAGGGATAGAGTGTTTAGATGAAGCCCAGCTGTTTGGTCTCAGATCATTAAAAAGACCAGTGCCATCAAGATCAGTCCGAAACCAAAAATACAAATCCGGTATTGAAGATAGAGCTCTTTAGTACTCATTAAAGATAGATTTGTTCCGTTATGAATTGTCAGTAGCTGTAGAATATTTCAGCTATTTCCCCAGCTCCTTCCCCGCCCAATTCCCCACCCCCATCTCCTATTCCCAACTATGTACTCCCCAGCCACCGTTCTGCACCCCTCCCCGGCCACCATTCTGTACCCCTCACCGCCACCATTCTACACCCATCCCCAGCTACCTTTCCCAACCACTCCCTGGCCACCATTCTGCACCCCTCCCCAAAACCATTCTGCACCCCTCACCGCCACCATTCTGCACGCCTCCCCATCACCACTCTGCACCCCTCCCCACCACCATTCTGCACGCTCCCCATCACCGCCACCATTCTGCACGCTCCCCATCACCACTCTGCACCCCTCCCCACCACCATTCTGCACCCCTCACCGCCACCATTCTGCACCCCTCACCGCCACCACTCTGCACCCCTCACCGCCACCATTCTGCATCCCTCCCCACCACCATTCTGCACCCCTCACCATTCTGCACCCCTCCCCACCACCATTCTGCACCCCTCCCCACCACCATTCTGCACCACTCCCCACCACCATTCTGCACCCCTCCCCACTACCATTCTGCACCCCTCCCCGCCACCATTCTGCACCCCTCCTTGCAACCATTCTGCACCCCTCACCATTCTGCACCCCTCCCCACCACCATTCTGCACCCCTCCCCACCACCATTCTGCACCACTCCCCACCACCATTCTGCACCCCTCTCCACCACCATTCTGCACCACTCCCCACCACCATTCTGCACCCTTCCCCACCACCATTCTGCACCCCTCCTTGCAACCATTCTGCACCCCTCACCATTCTGCACCCCTCCCCACCACCATTCTGCACCCCTCCCCACCACCATTCTGCACCACTCCCCACCACCATTCTGCACCCCTCCCCACTACCATTCTGCACCACTCCCCACCACCATTCTGCACCCTTCCCCACTACCATTCTGCACCCCTCCCTGGCCACCACTCCCCACCCCTTCCCAGCCACCATTCCCAACCCCTCCCACGGTAATACTGAAGAAAGTTTCAGCCATCCTCCCACCCACTGCCTCTTCTACTCTTATTAAATTCCTTTGGCGTGATTGGCATTCATATTGTAAAAGCACACTTGGTTTTTATGTAAGAATGAATTTGAAAGTCCCCTTTTAAATATCAAGTAACGTACTCCAGACAAACGTTGAAGAGATGACCCTTGGGTTAACCATCAGGCATTTGTCATTATTAGATTTGTAACAGATGCGGACAATCTTGGAGATTGGTTGCAGACAGTTTGACACATGAGGATCATCTGAAATTATCCTCCTGGATAGCACAAACTCGGAGGAGTAGCATCGTTACCTCGAGGGAATGCATTTCCAATAATGCAGATGATGAAGTCTGGGGGGCACCAAACTAGGTCGCACCAAGTTCAATAATGCATGTATAATATGACACGACCGAGGTCCCGCGCCGACAACCTGAAGTCAGGTTCAACAACGTACCCAGAATTCCTCAGATTACCAAGCCCATAATGGAATCGCATCTCTACTTGATTTGTACGTCTGGGTAGTAACAGAGGTATCCGATATCCCAGCAGGACTTGACAAATCAAGGGCTGGGTTGGCAGAAGTTTTAGCATTCCCAAGACCTTCCGAGATGCATTCCTGAGATGTCTACCTTACATTTAGTCCGTGGCCAGTGTTCTTGTCTCCATCACACGCTTTAAGACAAGTCTGGTCAAAAGTAAATTACATGTTTTTACACAAGTCCAGCCACAAGTTACAGGGGATTAACATTAACACCGGAGTGCTTTTGTCATAGTTCATCTGAATAGCTCGTGACTTGACTTGAGACTAGATGACTGGTGATTGACTTGCGATGAACTTGAGAGGATTTGTGGCAGACTTGACAACAACACTGCCCTTGCAGAGATATTGGTTATCTCAGCAGATGTCCTTAGAATGACAGCCGGTTCACCAACCCTTGTGCTTCTTGGTTCTCCTTTAATTTAAGACCTTGTGTAGGGAATTCCAAGCTTGTGGATGTTCGTCTGAGGAATTCCAAATGCGATGGATATCCCAAATGATTACCTGAACATGAAGGGCAGAATAAGACCAGTGTTGCATTTAAGCCTTTTTTCCCCTCGGATATCTTCGGAGCATAGACCAGAAGCTCATTGCGGATTTGTCTTTGAGGCCCTCTCAGTGGCGATTGGTATTCTGATAGAATCCTGGTGTATACAATGCAGGGTTACCAACCACTCTGGTATGAGATGTTAATGTGACAATTAAGTCTAAGCTGAGATAACTGATGCTGTACATGTATATATGCTAAATAATGTTGACCAGTTGTCTCAATCTGACTCAGAAAAGTGTATACAAAGCACTCTAAAAATTTGTTTGAATTCGAAGTCATTTCAAACCACCAGGAGTGGACGTAAAGTGCACAGTTGTCCATGTACATGAACCATGCAAATTTCTACCCTGAACAGTGCCACCTAGAGTCAAGTTGTGTTCAACCCCATCGCCAAAACACACACATGCACAACAGTATAAATTTGCAATTACTTGATGGTTCAAGATATTCATACATCATCCCCCAAGTCATTGAAAGTACACATATGTATGCCTTTTTACATAGCCTTCACTTCTTTGCCAGAAGAAAGGCTTTTCAGTCAAATTATTCAGCAAGTTAGCATGTTGTATCAAGTTTGGTTGATGGAGTGCCGTGTCCCCACGGTCTGGAGCGTTGAAACTGGGTAATTCTGCAGGTTGTGGGTTCGAGTCTAGCCTGGGGTTATGGTGCTTGTGCCTTTGGGCAAGGCACTTTGTCACTCATTGCTTCTCTCCACCCAGGAGTAAAAGGGTACCTGTGAGGGCAGAGATGGTTGTTGTGATTGATGCTTTGTGCTGAAATGGCAGCATCGAGCTGTATACTCTCCAGGTAGCTGAGATTGTCTTTGGAATGTTTCATCGGCCCAATGAGCAGGGTTTATAGCGCCTTGAGCACCAGTACTGATGGACATGTGCGCTTTATAAATACGCACAGTAAATACACACAGTATTCTTACATTAATGCCGTGGAATATTTTTTTCTGTTGCTTTTTGCAAAACAGACAATACGAATACTTGTAACTTAATTAGACAACTGAGTTTGTTTCACCCTCATCCCCCTGAAAACTATCAGATGACATATCACTGTCGTCTCCACTGCAGCTGGTATCATCAGCTTCATCACCGACAACGATGTATCAATCTTCATTGGTTTAGTTTGCAACTATATAGTTGCAAAGATTGTAAAGTCACATACATTGGGTGATTGATGATTGGAAATTTTTCTTCTTTCTTTGTGGTTTTTTTATTCTGGACAATAAATCTCCACAATTTGTTTTCTCAATGGTAAATGGTATAAACTTGAAACTTTGAACAAACATCAACTCTGATCCAAGGGTGTGCATATTACTACAAATGTATCTGGTACAAATGCAAAATCTCAATTTTATTTCTGTTTAATCTTATGGACTATAGGGTGAGAGCAGTAGCCTATCAGAGCAAGGCGATCCGGGCAGGAGGGATACACCACTGCTGGACGAAGTCATATCCCAGCTGGAAAAGCTGTCTACATGATGTCAACAGAAAAATAAGAGTAACTCCGACAAGTTGCAAGTACTGATTTATTAAGCATCTTTGGTCGCTTTTAAAAAGTGGGTTTGCGCATGGTATTAATGACAATTTGTAATAAGTGCAAAATATACTATGGTACTTGTGCTCTATTTATTTTTCTTATTTAAAAATGTTTGCAAATGCATGGGAAAACATAGGCGTAGCCAGCGGGGGGTTAAGGGGGGGGGGGTATTTACCTCCCAATATATTGTAAAGGCTGCACTTTCCTTTCAAATGCCCTTTATACTTCAGCGCTTTATCCCCCCCCCCCAATATTTGTGAAGAGTGCCCTTCTTTTGTTAACAAGACAAACAAGTGCCCTTTTTGTTCAGAACAAGTGCCCTTTAAGAAAAAGTTGTGCCCTTTTTGTGCCAGCGGCCTTTACGAGTGCCTTTTTAAAAATTGTGCGCATGTATCGCCCTGAAAAGTGCCATATATTGTCCGTTAGTGTGCATAATCGTAGGTTTAGAACAGCACCCCCATCGACAGATGGTAACAGCCCCCCCCCCCCCATTTGATTTTACAGAGGCCAAGTATCCAGAAAAAAAGTCTACAATTCAGCACGGATGTCTTTTCAGGAAATGTTTACCCCCCCCCCCCCCCAATAAAAATGACCTTGCTACGCCCCTGGATAGTGAACTTCTGAATTGGATAGTGCATCTTCTGATAGTTGGTCTGGGAAAATGTAAAAAAATGTTGCCAAGCTCACGTGCTGCAAATGAGCCACTTGTGAATGACGTGTGCCTTTGTGGAGAAGTGACAGTTTAACACCCATTCCAGACTGGCCTTCCGGAGTCGCGCCGAACCAAATTATTCTCAAGATGTGAATTACGTATGTGAACAGTTTCATATTTGAAACAGGGGCATCTACGTCAAAAGGGAGACGTTGCAGTAGTTGGGAACAATTCCAGAGACTAGTAAATGGAAAGTTAATACTTTAAGTTCGCCTGTCTGAAACTAAAATCTATTTGGCTTGATCTGGGTTATTTATAATACTGATTGATTTGACATGAGTCTGGAACTGTCTGAAATGCTCTATTTTCATTTCTCCAAATTCAACAAACTGAAGCTCTTATTTTGTATTCTTGGGATCACTCATAGAATGATCATGTTGATGATTTGTTTGCAATGTTTTTTTTTTCTTCTGTAATAAGCATTGTATTTAGCATCTTCATTTCTGAATGTAACTTTCTTTTACAGAAAAACCTACTCAGCTGAAACTTTTTAGGAGTTTGTTTTATTATACAATCTTCTCACTGTACCTCTTATAATGTATTGTTTATATTTTATCCCAGAACTTATGGTGGTTTAAAAAAAATCAGGGTAAGATATCTTGTTGAATTGTCATCATGTCTGCATTATCATCTGGAATATGTCTTCTGTGTAATTCAGTGATAAACTGTAGGCCTTGCATATGAATGGAGAACAAACATAGAATAGTCGATATGAATGGAGAACAAAAATAGAACAGTCAATAACGCCCTCAATTAAAAGACAAAGTGCTTGAAAGTACACGAGGGTGGACTAGGAACCAGACAGGGATTATAGTTCTGGATACAGTTAAGTTAATTGTTGTATTGATTGGTCAACATTTACTGACTAGGGCCCTCAGTATAGGGCCCTATTTCATGGAGCTGCTGAGCAGAGATTAAGTTATTGTTGTATTGATTGGTCAACATTTACTGACTAGGGCCCTCAGTATAGGGCCCTATTTCATGGAGCTGCTGAGCAGAGATTAAGTTATTGTTGTATTGATTGGTCAACATTTACTGACTAGTGCCCTCAGTATAGGGCCCTATTTCATGGAGCTGCTCAGAACAGAAATTTGCTAAGCACAGAAAATGATTGCTTAGCCAGCACAGGAACCAGCCAAATATCATTGGTATTAGTTTATTCTGGTTCCCAGCCGAAATTCGCTTTAAGCACATTTATTTTCTAATCAAATGTTTTGCTTCATTATCAGCTTATTGAAACGGGGTCAACAACACTTGTTGACTATGAACTCATTTCCAAGTGCTGGGAATGTTTGCCGCCTCTGGGTTTTTATGTTGGATGCTACCTTTTAATGACTTGCCCGATGCAAGAAGGCTTGCAAAATGATGACAAACTATAGGCCATCAGCCTCAGTCCAAAATTTTGGCCACCGGTATCAAATGAGGGGAATAATCGTCATAGCGATTTTTGGCAAGGTATACACATTCAGAGTTGGAAAATATGTGATAGCATTGCAACAGTGGCAGCTTTTTGGGTGTCATCACCCTTTTTTTCGAAATGTCCATCAAAATGCTTGTTACACTCTAGGGGCGGTATACCTTGCGCATGCTCATTATAATCATTTATGCCCTGATTTGATACTGACCAAACCCCCAGGCTAATGGCCTACTAGTTCAATGAAGATTTTCTGGGTGACACAATTGGATGAAATTGTGCTAGCTTTACGTAGATCCAGAGAGAGGATCTTTAGTGCATTATTTTTTTTTCGTGTTGAGTGAAATCGGTGTGCCTGGATCGACAGTTACCAAATAATTTAAAATCCAATCTTGGTCATTAAATAATGCATGATTCTAGCCCAGGCAATCACAAAATATCACAAAGATAGGCAGTTCAGCTAGTTTGATCACTCTACGGGTACTGCATTGAATGTTGGACTGATGGTTTTCGGAAAACTGGGTGATAATAATTTGAAGCATTGCATGCAAGGTGAACAAGTGATGTTAAATATATCTGGTCCCATGTCCAATTTTTGCGTAAGAAATTGGTCTGTCATCAAAAAGATTTTTTTTTTGTACTTAAAAAGTATCTGTGAATGGGGACCAGTTCCTATGACTTGCTATACTGGCTTTTTGAAATATTTATTCTACAGTTGGTTAACCCAAAAAATGCCAACCATGTGACATTTTCTCGTCAAATACAAAAACTGTGAACACTGTTTATGCCTTATTATTCTTGTCCCTTTTACTTTTGTTTATTGTGTAATTGTTTCATAATATTCTAGTTCTTCTTGGTGCATTTCACATTAAAAATTTGGGTATGTTTATGTATCCCAATTGAGGAAGATACCAGTAATAATTATGATAAGTATCTCTCTCTAATGTGATAAGTATCTCTCTCTATCTCTCTTTGTAAAAGTTGCTTTCCACATGATCTTCAACAAATTTGATTTGTTTTTCTTCTCTCAATAAATTTTCCATTTCTGATACTGATTGTTGGGTGGGAAAGAGCCTATTCCGCAAGAATGCAATTGTTCTTGACAGCAAATAATTCAAAATTTGTAAAGTAATAATTGGCCGATTTATTGGGCCCTTTCTCATTCAAAAGCGAATAACGTTTGTATTGCTAGGAAAATTTAGAAATTAAGAAAAAGAATCAGGTTGGCGCAGTGGTTCTTTCCTCGCCTTCAGCCTCTATGGCCTGGGTTTGATTCCTGCCCCGTTCCACATGTGGATTGGGTTTTCAGTCTCTACCTGAGTCTGTGACTTTTCCCTAGAATATTCTTCTGGGGTTTTCCTCCCACCTCTTAACTGTAATTTCTTCTCATTGTCTCCTCTGTACAAGTTTCTTCAGGCTTTCAAGTTTACAGTGCCTAGGGCGCTTTTGAGGAATCCTTGGTTTCAGTACCAGACGTATGATAATATAATACGAAAATAGCACGAAGAATGCAACTTATAAAATTCCCATTTTGTTGATATTTCTTAGATTGATTGCCTATGATGGTCCAAGTTCTGTTTCAAGAATTAGGTCAGTTTGGAAATATTTCCAATTGGTTTGGACATATGAAATTTGAAAAAAAAACATCGTTTGTCATTAACCCCCTGCTGCTCGTGATCTTTTAAGTGATTTCCTAGTGGTTTTGACATTTTGATGGACTTGACTTTATTTTTTATTTATTTTTTTTATTTAAAGAAATGGGAATTTTCCCCAATTGTTGAAATTCACAGGAAAATTATACAATGTATATGGTAATGGTCTTTGATCTTCAATTAAACTTGGAGTTTACACACACACAAAATCCTGCACTAAAATAGTTAAAAATTCATATGAAGAGGATTGAGTGACTCTTAAAGGAGGATGAATACTCCATGAATAATCACAGCAAATTCCCCAGACGATAAAAGCTGGTCTCGGAATTTAAATTAACTTACAGCTCGATGCTCGGTGGTCCGTGTGAAGCGTCTGGAAGTTTATTCGCTGGGACCTTATATTAACATTTGTTACCTAAACCAGCCAAAAGACCTAATAAATATAACTTATTGAATTAGTTAATAAGGAGTCAAGGATGTAACGGAGCCAGTGGTCAGAAAGGATGGAAATTGTAATTCAAGAATCTGGAGAACCGACACTTTAAAAGAAAGTTGGAAATGTTTGTGAATGTCATATAATAAATTGTTTTATTTCACTCCAACATAAACTAAAACACATGCGCCGAAAAGTGCAAATTAAAACAGCAAGTGAAAAGAATTGCAGAAGTATAAGATTGAGGTGCAAAATAAATTACCTACCACCAAAAGGTACTAGGAAACTTGAAACTTGCCATTAGGCCAAAAACAAAAGTCTCCGGTTTCTGGTATGGAGCTTGCCCCAAAAGTGGTGCGGCGACGCGGCTTTTTTTTTTTTTTACCTGTTTTTTTTTTGCTTCAAATGTCGGCTGATGACTGCAAATGGTGCCCGACTAAACTTAGTGCAAATATATGGGAGTCAAGAGAGGCCACATAAATCTTATACTCGATCATAACCTCATCTAAAAACACGTTAAAATTGTGCAGCAGCAGGATTCCAGTCAAACCAGAGAGTTTGGCGGTGTTGAGACATCATCTTGTATTGAAAAAAAAAGTTTTTCATTTTGCCGACGCGCATGGCTACGGCGACGCGCGCGCATACCAGAAACCGGAGACTTATTTTTTTTGGCCTTAGTTGGGCAATTGAAAAAAAATAGTTAATCGTCAACGTGATTTATGACCGTTAATACATCAGTGTCATTAATTGAGGGTCTCATGAAAGGATGACCAGTCAAACACTGTAAAAGACGGGCGCAGGTGAAGTACGACATGTTGTCTCACCCATGAATCACTGCTGTCTGGATTGACATTTTTACCCGCTGCTTCTAGGGGTGCACTCCTGTATTAAAATTCCCATAGACACGAGTGCTAAATGCCCATACTTCAAAATTCTTTTAAAAATACTCAGAACTCTCACAGGTATTTAAGCTGCACAGAAAAATGATGATCAACATGTCATCTTTTCATTTTCTTTTCAATTTTTGGTGGGTTGACATTGACTTTTCGAGAAATTCTCGCCCAAAGAAGACGACCCCTTAGCGCCACTTTCGAGCCCAATTGCATCCAAAATGCTCAGAATTGGAAGCGCCAAGTCCGGGCCAGAGGTTCTTTGCCATATCTCTTTCATTCCCCCAATGTTATGACCAACTCGGATAATTTGCTTTT